CACTGGGGCTTCTTCTTCTCCATCCAGAACTCACATCGCACCAGTCTCAATTTGTGGCTCGATTTTTTGTCGTTTGGCATCGGGCTCCGTCTCCATAGTCATCGCGATGAGGTTCCAAAATGTGCGATGCGAAAAATTATAGAGTTAACCATGTCGGATTCCAGCGGGAAATTGATGTGGAAGTTGGATCTCCTCGAAGTCAAGTTCCACAACGCTTCCCCGAGGTACAGAAACACCAAAAAACTCTTGGGGGCCCGTCACAATGAGAAATTGATGAAAAAACTCCCCAATGCTAACGAAGCCGAAAATCAGATTCACCAGTTAAAGCACGAAATATTTGGCAAAAAGTACCATGCGTGTGTGAAAAAACTCCATAGAGAGACCAAGAAACTCCTCAAACCTAACTCTGGCTCAAAGGATATTTTGGAGCCAGAAATCCTCGACAAACTCGTGGTGTCTCGCGTCATCAAAGCCATAACCACTGCCATGCTACCGACAAAACAACTCAAGGAGAACCCCCCACAGTATATCCCCGAGGAGATCAGAAGCATCATCACCGACAAGTCTCATACCTCAAATCCTTCTGGATTTTTCAACACCTACTGCAAAGACGATAAGAATCGCAACAAGATAATATCCAACTTGTTTAACAAAAAAAGCATAAAAGCCTTCGTTAGCGAAATGGAATGGACTTTCCGAGTAGTACGAGGTAATATCACCAAACAGGAGAAATCCCTCCACCAGAAATCCTCAAAGACAGAAAACAGTGATCTGGACAATGAGAATGAAGACGACGAAGACAACAGAATCGCCTACTCTTCCGACTCAGACTTGGAATCCGATGAGCCAGCTGCCCATTCCAAGACCTCAGATGTCGAATCTGAGCCAGAATCTGAACCAGAATCCGACTCCAAATCGGAGCCAGAATCCGCAACTCAAAAGTATAATCTTCCACAATTGGCAACCGGGTACTTTTCTGGTGGCTCAGACGACGACGGTTCAGACATTGACGAAGACCAAGTGGTCAAGAGTGTGACTGAACGACGCAAGAACAGAAGAGGTCAACGAGCAAGACAAAAAATATGGGCACAAAAGTACGGCAAAGAAGCCAAGCATATTAAAGAAGAGCGTACAAGATTGGCATCGGAAAGAGAACAGAGACAACTCGAATACGAAGAAAGAGAAAGAAAACGGCAAATGAAGCGACAAGCAGAGCCTACTGGCTCCAATAACCAGCCACTTGGTGATCGAAGTGAAAAGACGGCTCTGGTAGAAGAAAAGTTGCATCCTTCATGGCAAGCCAAAAAATTGGCAGAAAAGACCATTACTGCCAAATTCACAGGAAAGAAAATTAGATTCGACTAGTACGACTTATAAACTATCGTAATCTATGTGGAAATTTGCAAGCAAATCTTCGTGGGTGAGAGAGTCGCAGACCACCGGGGTCATAACTTCAAAAGTGTAAGCACACTTTTCTGGTTCAGCAACGGAAAGAAGCCTGTTTTGGGGCCCACAAACCAACTCGACAATTGCACTTCGGCGTGGTCCATTCCAGCATTTACTGCCATCTTTATATATAAGTTTCGTACCTTCGGCAGCTTTATACGAACCAATGTGAATATCTTCCTGGTATATCGATGCCAACAACCCAACTTTGTAGGTATATCCATTGAGTGATTCAGACACCCATGTTCCTTCGATAGCACGCAAAATGTCATCTGGACCGTAGTTTCGGTTCAACTGTTCTTCGTAGATGCTTATATCTTGCTTAATGGCTGTAATGTCTTCATCGTCTTCCATTTCAAGAATTACCGGTTCCAGCTTGAAATAGTCTTTTGCTTTGTTAATATAATGGGAGAATACTCCTAACTTTTGTGGGCTGCTGAAAGCTTGTGCTTCTTGCGAAACCAGTTGCAATTTTGACTCGAGATTGCCGACTTGAACGTCCTCCTTATTGGAAGCATAATCCTGAAACGATTTGATTGCATCCTTAACAGCAAGATCGTTAAAGTTGGGGTTATAGTTATCCATCATTGTGCTGAGAATCTTTTCTAAAGAGCGAATTGTGCTTTTTTGTTTCTCGATGGCAGAATTGGTGAGTTTGATTTGTTGTGCCAATTCTTTTAAAGACAGCGTGAAACCGTCTGTAGCTGATTCTGGTGACTCCTGGGCTCTCTGCTGGCGTTTTTTTAACTCATCCTTTAAAATTTGCAACTTTTTCGTGATATCGTCAACCTTCTTTTGCACTGCTAGCTGCAATTTTTGCTTTATTTTCAACAGAATTTTCATGTCGTTATTAGCCTCGTCGCTAAATTTCCGAAACTGCTGTGCTATCTCATGGCACTTGTCGGGACAAACACCTTCAGCTTCATCGGACCCATCACAGCAAATATCATAGTCGCACACTCCATCATTGAGCTTAAACGACTCGAGATATCCCGGTATAAAACCATTGTTTGCACAGTAAAACTTGCTGGAGCCATTGTAGGGACACGCGTTTGTTCCTGGCTCGTCGGACCCATCAGGACAGTCGCAAAAGTCGTCATTAACCTGATCGAATCTCAACTTGATTTCAGGATGATTGAGACAATGCCAATATTTCTCGTTATTTTCCACACTTGGTTCGTACAAGTGAAGACGAGTGGGTTCGACTCCCCTGATAGCATCTACTCTGCCCGCAATAAGGGCACAAATTCCTATCAATGGCACCAAAATCATGAGTGAGCCTGGAAACGAAATGAATTCGAAAATTGAAATTTCTCACCAAATTGAGAAAACTAAAATATGACGTCTCGTAAGACCAGGGACTCCGATCCCATCGATCTAGCCCGCTGCAAGCGAATAGTAAGGCCGTTGCAGTCCAAAATACACCAATTGAACGAATTGCTCACCAGTTTCCCGTCTAAAACAAATCTTCAATATGAAACTCCCCACAAGTCATTTCTCCATCCCAAGACTTCTACCCAACGATTGGCGTCGCTCAAACCATACCTTGACCCGGACTTGTACCAGAGTTACCTCGACATCTTCCAGATCTTCCAGGGAGTGGTAAGGAACGTAGAGGTCAAAAGACCAAACCGAGTACCTCGACTATCGATGCTCTGCTGTGTCAATTTAGGTAAATCTATAACATTATCCACCAGGTCTACCTACTACAAGCTTAACCAGTCGAGTCTATTTGACCCAGAGACCCTTCCTGGCCATCTCCATCGAATCTACCATTCGCTACATGAGACAATTGATCCATGGTTAGAGTTGGAACCAGTGCAGTTGTACGGTGGATATCGTCGAGATTTGTTGATGGGGTATGTTATCCACCTCATAGTATTCAACCTGGGAATGCTATACATGTTGGTTCCCGTGCTTGTTCAATGGCTCCAGGAAGAGCTGAGAGAACATAGTAATGGTCCACTCATGGCATTTTCTACCATACTTTTCAACCAATATTGGCACTTTGACGAAACCTACCATCCTGATTTCGACAGCGACTTCCTTGGCTACTTGGACGCCAACAAGAAAA